CCCCAAAACCCCAAAACCCCATATCCCAGTATATCAATAAACTAATCTTAATTATTTAGAAAGTAATTCTGATTTAAATGAAATTAAGAGTTTAGAAATCATTTAAGGAAAACAAAAGCTTTTCTTTGCTATAAGTATTCTTCAATTTTACTATTTTGCATTTTATCTATCATTTGATACTGCCAATCTTCGGTATATCTAAGCCCACACACTTTATGCTTATATTTAGAGAAAAATCCTGTAAAATCACAATATTTAGGTTAAACTCTTACTGATATTCCACAATCAATGCTCATATATGATCCTATTTCCTAATTATATTGAGGGCCTTGATCTTTAGAAGACTCTTGATTGTTTGCATTTTGAGGATTATTGTCAAAATTAGTCAAGATTTGCTTTAAATTCTTATATAGATGAACTTTAACGTTTGATTTTTTGAGAGCTTGCTATTTCACCCAGTGAGGACTTTTAAACTTCAAAGATTATCTCTCGTCATAAATCTAGTTACTCTTTTTCTTAGACCAATTTTTAATTAGATTCTTCCTCAATATCAATATCTATCTAAAAGGCGTTTTGTTTTTAATCTTCAATTATTGCTTGCATTTACTGTTTTTTAGTAAGCTTTGAATCTTTTGATAATGTAGCAGGAGGTTGAGGTTTTTCTTTTTCCTATTACTGAGTTACTTCTACTGCTGGCTTTCTTCCTGGTCTTCCTCTTTTACCTCTTCCAGATGGAGGTTGTTTCACAGTCTCTTTGACATTTTTCTTCAAAGATACTTATGACTCTTAGCTATAGGTTTCGTCATCCTTATTAATCGTATTATTTAATTCCTATGTTAGATCATCATACTTTTCTTCTTAATCATCTTTGTTCTTAGATTTGCTCTAAGTATCATCCATTTGAAAAATGTCATCATCTTCTCTTGAGTCCATTCTTTCATTTTCATAATCCTCGTCTTCTGATAGAGTCTTTTAACTCTCTCTCTCCTCTCTTCTGCTCCTCTTTGAGTTAGACTTGTTGAAATTTTCCAAATCGTCTTCCTCATCCTCTTCTCCAATTACATTGCCTTGCTTTTTATTCTCAAGAGGTTTAGTCCTACAAGATCTTCCTCTTTTTTTAGAATTATCATAATCATCCTATAATGCTCTATCCTTTTGTCGAGTTTATAATTATTGTTAATTATGATGATAATCAGTTTTATCATCCCTATTTCTAGTTCTACTACGTTCATTTTAGCCTGATTACGATCCTTAATTATTTTTAACTTAGGTTTTTGCTTTAAGAGTGTCCTCTTCTGTTTCATATTCTTCATCTCTATGCTTTTTTGTTGCTGGCCTTCCTCTTCTTCCTTTTTCTTGCTTTGACATGTGATTAAGTTTTTTAAAACTATTATTAATGAATAATAGTCAATCAATTTTTAAAATCTCTAATATCAGGTTAAATGAAAGAGTTCTTGTTTATGGGGTTTTGGGGTTTTGGGGTTTTGGGG